TTCCAATGATCAAAAGTTCCTTTCAATCACCTTTGGCAAACATCACCAACAACAGGATAGATATGAACTAACCCTCCAGAGGAGGAGAAATCTTGTCATTTTTCTACCACTACTGGACCATGTTGATATCTAAGCCACTGCCTGTTAAATAATATTTTAAGCTTTATTATTATTTGTGCCTTTTTCTCTACTGGCTCCTAGTGACTGCTTCTTACTCCTATTCCATTTATAAGCCAAAGCTTCACCTGAAAGGATGTTAAATAAATAAAGAACATGACCACAACATTTAGTTCAATGTTAACATGCATCGTAAACCGAGGTAGGAAGCCATCAACAGACATGTTAGAATGGTGATCCAGGTTGTCATCATTAATATTCTTTAAAATCCTATAAGCTTATCAACCATTGAGAAAAATTTCACATTTAGAAGGGTCCTTAGGAACCCATGGGTATGGCAATTTTGCAGATAACAGGCCAAACACACAGTCAGCTACTAGATGATAGAGATGTCCTATTGGTTGCACACTGGGACAAGAGACCCCCTGCAATAAAAAGCATGAAACCAAAGACCCTGTATTGGCCCACTTCTTCAGGTGTGTCTCTTTTGCCCTAGTATGGCGGCTCTCAACCAGGGGCAAGTTCTCTGTAATCTCTGCAGATATTTTTGGTTGTCACAACCAGGAGACTACCAGGATGCTACTCCTAGATAGAGACAGGTACGCTGTTAAACACCTCCCGCAACAAAGAATTCTCTGGCCCCAAATGCCAGTAGTGCCAAGGTGGAGAAACCCTGCCCTTCCAGAAGTCAGAGAGGGCAGGGAGACCCAGGATGAGCACAGGCAAGTCCACACACTTCTCACCGCTGGCCGCAGCACACTCCCCCATCCCACAGCACAGCATGTGGCTTTGCATCACATGCCAAGGTGCTGCCCTGCTGAGACCTGTACACGAGTATGTAGAAGACAGGCGCAGCCCCACCAGAAACACACCACATCTTCCAAGAGCAATGATTTTACTCAGAATTAATTAAAATGCCTTGATTCTAAGATATAGACAGTCCCCATATTCTAATATTTCTGAAAATGGAATGTGACTTATAATTAGTTTATCCCCCAAAAGGCTGTTATGCAATCAATGAAAACTTTTATAAATAATTATATATTAGATCAGAGAAACATGGTAGTTTGAAACATAATGTTGATATTGAAATAAATAAAATAGACCATGGGGCGTGATGTAAAATCTGCTGAATTCCAAGGACAAAACACGAAGCATCAAAGACTTTCTCCCTTGTGCAGGCTCTTTCAGCCAGCGTGGGTTCACACGCCTCCACCTTGTTGGTAGAAAGGCTTCAAGTGTAGACTTTGCTCTCAGGATGTAAAAGGATCAGTGGCCAGAGGGTCAGGGGATGAAACTGACCCTGTTCTGGAGGCCTGTCTCCCTCCCCCGGTCCCCAATTCCTCCCTTCCACGTCCCCACTCCCATCATCCCCAGAGGCCCCTTCTTTGTTCTCTTCCATAACTAGCACCATTTCTGGTGATTAGCACTTGGGGGCATCATGGGGCTCCCTGAGAGAGCGGCACCCTTGGTCCCTGCCTGCTGACCATCTTGTTTCCCTGCAGGGATGCTGCAAATCCACAGGGAGTACTCAGCACACTGGCTTCAAAGTGAGGCCAGTCACAGACACGGATGCAACACTTCTGCTGACTGTCTTCCTGGACAAGCTAGGTAACTCTGTGGACCTCAGTTTTCTCATGTAGAGAGTGACAGGGGATGAATAATAGTCCTGCCCACTACAGACTTATTTTTTCTCTTTAGATATAAATAAAATAATCATATGAAATTCAGAGTACATGGCCAACTGCCTACTACATTTGGTTGGGTCTTTGAGCAGATTGTAAGACAGCCAGTCACAGTGATTCTAAAGCATTTACAGCCTCGTACTTGGCCACGCCTTGGGAGAGTGTTCCTGAGTGGATGGAATGCCATCAAGTAACCTAAGTTGGGGGAGCCTGTGACTTTTTTTCCCAAATTCATCTTCACAAACCTATAATCAACCCATAGAAACCACAAGTTGATTTTTAAAAGGGATATTGTGGGCAAGTGTTGCTTTATTTACAAGGATAAGGCCTTTGACATCTCTCTGGTGTCCCTGGATGGTAGAAAGGCTCAGTCGGAAAGAATTCATTAATGTTCATGTGCTTCTCTAACCAAGTGTTATGGCTGAGCATGTGCTAAGATTGCTAAGGCTCCAAGCAAGTCCAGGGCTCACCCAGATCTCTGGGCAGGATGCCTTTGGGTGGGATGTGGGCCAAAAGGGGGTGCATTCCAAGACAGCTGCTTTTGGTCAGGAACATACTGCAACTTTTCTGTCTGGAGCAATAAAATTCAAGGACCGTACTCCATCACTTGAAAGGACATTGGTTCTGAAGACATAGAATATGATTGATCTCTTGTTCAGGCTTGTCTGGAAACATTAAGAGTGAGTAGGTGAATGGCAATGAGAGAGATAAAATTTCTGACAGTTTGGGAAGAAGATAAAAAAAAGAAAAAAAACTAGGGGAAGTGAAAATAGAAGCAATCCTTGTTTTTTCAGAACTTTTCCCAAGCTGAAAGTCACTATATTAATTTTATTACACAAGTAGAAACTAATTTTCTAATAACATACTATGCATATTATTTATTTAGGTAATAATTAGCTTGTTACTCATTTAACTTACACATTTTTATTATAAGGATTATATGCATCTCATATTATAAAAAGGTAAGAGTTTTAAAAAGTAAAATTCAAACCTATTTAACTCAGTTTTAGATCCCTATTAAGGGAGAAAATACAATCACTTTCATCAGACATGATTAGAGCTTTGTGCAAACAGAAGTCATGGGTGACAATATCAACTGGGTTTAGTTTTTCTGGAAATAGGTAAAAAGTATTATAAATCTGCTTATGTTCATGGATCTGGTACCTCATTTTGGAAATATGGTGCTTGGGACAATCTCCAAGAAAAATAAATTCGAAGATGATCATTTGCAGTATTATTAATAAAACAAGATAATGGGAAATAACCCAGTTTAATCACAGCAAAAAAGTTAAGCAAATGATGCCACAGCAATAGTGAAGTATAATAGAGCCATTAAAAGATATAATGTCATCCATATTCCCATATTGCAACCTAGTGAGTGTTCATAAAGTAGGTCCTATGCAAGGCCCACACAATGTACGAGCAAACTAAGAAAAGAACTTAGAATAAGAATTTATAGTAAAATGGTTTAAGTTCTTTTCCTTGAAAGAAGGAGGGGGTTGGCAACCTAAAAAGCAAATATAAGACTAAAGGTATACACCATGATGTCAAATATGTATTGTCATGTATTATGACCAGAGGGAGATGCAATTCAATAGTGATTATCTCCAGTCAGAGGAATTGAAAGTGATTTTCCCCCTCATTTATACTTTTAAATATTTAACAATTTGCTCCACTCAGTATGTAAAACTTTTGTCATTGTAATATCAATCCCTTTTAAAAATGTAACTATACGGGGATTGGCAGAGGTGGGCAAAGTTGGGGAAAGTGGGGACATCTGTAGTAGTGTCAACAATAAAATTAAATTAAATTAAAAAAATTATAAATTCATGAACATTGAGGAATAAGTTTTAAACAGTGAGAAGAAATGGGTGAAAGTATAAACAGAATAAGTAATTTACATTATTGTTAAAAGGAAAATCATGAGGCTTTTCACAACTCTGTATCATCCACAATGCCAAGCACATACCAAAAAAACCCCTCTCTCAAAATCCAACTTTTCCACACTTTATTACTTAAATTATTGCTACCAACAGTTTCTGCTTCCTTTGACTTATTTTTTTTTTACCATCTTTTTGAGTTTCTGAAAACAGGAATCAACATGTAAAAGGATGGAGTATTTGAATATTGTCCCAATTCTGGTAAACCCAAAAACTGTGCCCAAAATATAGTGAACACTCAATAGATATGTGCTGATGGACTAAATGAATAGCAGCTATTTTCTTTCCAGTTCTGAAGGAGGAAAGAAGCAATTTGAAGCCATTTGAATAAACAGCAAGAAGAGCTGATGATCATTGTCACACTCACGTTCTGTGATACAAGAGGAAAGGGAAATGCTTAATAGGGTCCCCATGTAGAATATTAGACCAAATACCTTGTATGATTTAGCAATATCACAAAATACCTTTCCACCATAAAACCAAGCCGGCGGGCCTTCCCGCCACACCAAGCACACCACTTACACCTTTGTCTCTGAATAGGCACCATAATAGCTTTTGCAGCATAAGTTAACTGGCTTGGCAGTACATTCTTGATAAAGTCATTCACATCACCCTGCTCTCACAAGTGGACCTACAGTTATCACACACAGGTAAATGGCAGAGGTGGGATTTGTGGATTGAATGCAGAAGATGTATTTTTAAGGATGATGTCTCATACTTCCTGGCTGTTTAAGTTCTTCAAGATGTAATCACAGATGATGATTTTGTACAAGGTACAGCTTTTCCAACTTATCACTGAACATCTTAAGAATGTGTTATTTAAGTAATCATTGAAAAGTGGGAAATTCTATATGGGAAGGCATAAATATCATTTATCCATTCATTGATTCATTCAATGTACATTCATTGAGAACCATACCAGGTGCCTGGTATATCGTTAGGCACTGGGGTGTGAAGTCCTACACATTTTATCCACCATCCTGAGATATTGCGGAATCAGTTTTTTCTCTGGTAAACATTAAATTGGTAAAATTTCCAATTTTTTACTCTTTTTTTTTCCAAATCTTTACAATTCTGGGGAAGACCTGGTTCACAGGAGGAAGCTCACATTATTTCAACCACTGGGAGAAGCTCTGAGTCTCTTATAACAACCTACGGTCCCACCATTTCACGCCTCCTCTTTCTCCAGGAATATAAAGCAGTCCCTTCCTCCTCATGGGCCCTCCCAGCCCACCGCACCCCACCCAGGATTTCTGACCTGACCATCCTCTTGTCTCCAGGAGCGCGCTGGCCACCAAGTAGCGCGGCAATGAGCTGTCTTTCATCAGGGTCCTGAGGGACCTTGGAGGAAAATCTGTCAGGTGCTTTCAAGTTTACCCAATGTTTTGATGTCAAAGAAGTAACAAACTGTTTATTGACTGTTGTCATTTATTTGACTGGTGAGCTCAAGGCCGCTAAGTGTTTGTTTGAACATTGGGAAACTATGGGAGTTAAAGACCACATGGGATCATCTCAGGCCTTTGATGTCCCTCTCCTCTCCTTAAGCAAGAACTGTGGCTGTTTAGAGGGAAAAGGGAGTAGAGGGCAGGTGGAAGTGGGCAAAGGAGTGGCAGGGCGGGGCAGGAGTGAAGACAGAGAGAACCTTTGCTTGGGGTGTTGGGCGATGGGCTGATGGGCTGTGTGCAGGTGATCATGACTGAGTTGTGCACCGGACATCTGTATGGTTTTGTGAACCAATGTGACTACAATAAATTCAATTAGAATAATTTTTTTAAAAAAGCTGCATCTCTTTACTCGCCAAGTTTTGTGAATTTCCATTTGGCTATACCAGCAGCTCATTGGTGCCCCTCCCAGCCAGCCATTCTGTGACTAGATGATCCTCCTTTGTCAGGTGCCTTCACCCCTCTTTTGCCATCCTTCCAGCCACCCGTGATCATTAATTAACCATTTTAACCTTGGCAGCCTTGTTCCCTGGCACTGAACCCCGACTCAGGAAGGTACTTTGTCTTTAACCTCTAATTCCCAATGTAAATGAAAGGAGCCCTTTGTTTGTAAGGTCCAGGGATGTCCAGCCTTCCAATCTTTTCTCTGTGCTTCCATTCCAAATGCTCTATAGCTTACTTCAGTTATGGATTCTGTCAAGGGACTTCTGGGGTTTTTTTCCTAACTAGATGTAAAATGAAAGATCAACTAATTGTTTTGAAGTAGATTGGAAGGCCAGGCCCCACATCACCTTCGATGGCTTCTGTGGATAACAGCACCATTTCTCAGAATGTGTCCCTCCGAACACTAATCCCCAGAGGGTTCCTGGATACAAAGGTGAAGGGACGGAGTAAGACTGGAAGGAGCTGCTCCCCCTTGAGGCTCACAATGTGTGTTAGCGCATTAAAGGCTTTGAGAAGTTCAGCAGGAAAGAAATGTGCTCAACCAAGCCATGCCCAAGGTCCCTGGAACCCAGAACACACTTTACTTTTTGTTTTGTTTTTCTTATGTAGATTACATACATAGCATAGATTTAGAGATGCAAGGCACACACTCTGGGAAGCAATGATCTGCTATATGTAGACCAAGAGGGCTTGGAACTTAAGCTACATGTGGTAGGAAGGAATAATAATAGGCTTTGGGTCCAAGATTAATAGGATTCTGGCCTCCTTGAACTATACTCTGACTGCAGATTAGTATAGAGAATGGAGACTCAGTTCTTCTCAACGGGGACAGGTGGTGGTGGGGAAGGGGCCAGGGAGCTATCTGAACCATTATCTAACCCAGACAGCAGACATCCAAGCAGTTTTGCAGGTGACCAAATGGAGTGCTTGCCACCGTGGGGCCTTCACAGGATCCCTGTATCCTGACGTCTTGAGTCCTACTGTATCTATGGTTCCTTCAGAAGCTGCTTCTGGCCCTACTGTGAGCCATTTCAATCCCAATCTGAAATTTACACAAGAACTATTGCATCTGGGAAAGGACTGTATTTAGTTAGTCCCTAATTCCAGCCACAGAGAATTATGTAGCATGCAGGGGATATCTTTTGGAGTTTCCTATCCTACTTCCACCACTCATGAGCTGTGTGATATTGGTCAGATAACTTAACAACTCTGAACCTCAGATACCTCATTCATAAAGACAGATTAAAATTAATAATACTATCTTATGGGATTGTTGTGAAAGTTAAATCAGCCAATATACATGAAGGTACCTAGAACATAGACAGCATGTAGCATGTGGTAACTATTATTATTATCATCATTACTGATTCATTCCACAAATATTTCTCAGGCAAAATAGTTCTCATTGCCTCTGTGAGTCCCTACTGCCCTTTAAGAAATTTGCCTATTGAGAATTGCCACAGCAAGTCCACATTGCACTGGATCTGCAGACATTATGATCTCCTTGGCAGCTTGACTACATGCAAGTTCTCCTAACTGCAGCATCCACAGCCTCTCTTGGTGACATTTATCACTGTAGGCCTTTGATTCTAGCTGACCTTCACTGAAGATATATTCTGTGCCAGGCACATTCTAAGTCCTTTCCGTGCATTTGTCTTGTCTAAGTTCTTCAGCAACCCTGTCAGATAGGAACTACTGTTATTCCCATTTGTAGACAAGGAGAGGGCACAGAGAGACTAAGTAACTAGCCCAAGTTCACACAGCAGCTCACTAGCAGAGCGGGGATCCAAACCCTCAAAGTTGGATTCCTGAGTCCGTGCCTGTAATCCTGACATTATCGTGTCTCTCCCTCAAGGGGTTCCCTGCCTCTCCAAGGAAGGGCCATGTGAGGTGTGAGTATAAACGATATGCAAGAAGGGATGGAAAAGTGGAGGAGACATGGGTGGGTGTGTGTGAGGCACAGAGAGTAAAACCTTCTTTTGAGTGTCATGCAGAGAAAACAACCAGCTCATCAATTAGTCAGGCACAGGCTGAGCAGCATTCACACTCTTCCCCAGAATGTTCTGGGGCTGCTACAGACCCACGGATGTCAGAGCAGGAGGGAGACAGCAGGCTGCTGCCTGGCAGCAAGGCGGGGGCCCAGCCCCAGCCTGGGAAACAGCTAATAAGAACTAAACTGCTGCAGGTGCCTCCTTTTCTGGGTTGCCAAAGGTTTCTGTCACTTGTAAAACAGGGGCTCATGAGAGGGTTTTGAGTATCATTTGGGATAGAGAACCAGAGGGTGCCTTTGGGTCCCTCCAACCTGTGGAACTCCAGGGCACCAGTTGCCCCAGGGACATTGCCAACAGATCCAGCTGGGTTTCAAAATGACAACAGAAGAACTAACATCTAGAGCGCTTTCATAAGCCAGGTGCTCAAGGCTGAATTCTGCCAGCTACATTTTGCACAGATTTGTCACCTCCACCTTACTGGTGAGGTGTAGAGAGAAACAGTAACTTGCCCCAGGACATGGGGTCCTCAAGGACTGGAGACAGGACCTGAGCCAAAAATGGGAGAAACTCCTATCCAGCTGTAGTCTCTGCACTCGACAGGTGGTGTTTGAACAGGAGGAACATCCACACTAATTTGCTGAATCATCTTTCTCAGAGGCCCTGTGATGGGCCCAGGACACGGAGCTGCATGCAGCAGACCAGGCGCACACCCTCACTGGATTATAGTTGCTATTCCTGCAAGGAGAGCCATCCAGGATGACAGCTTAGCAAGTGCACCGACAGAAGGAGGGTGTCCTCTGGGCCCTGGGACCCTGCCACTCTGTATGCGGAAGATGGATTTAAAACCAGCTCTTGGAACAGATGCGGCTCCCTCTCACACTGAGAACACCATATGTGTCCCCACACAAAGGCCGAGAAGACAAGCTCCCATCTGTTGGCTGTTCTGGAGGTGATGTCCAGCAGGCTGGCAAACAACCCCCAGCATTTTCTTTCAATAGCCTGGGGGTGGGGCTGGGGCAGGGGTGGGGGAAGCGCTGAGAAACTGAAGGTTTCCCTTTGTGTGACTCTCACAGACATTTCTGGAAAGGGTCAGTTTCATGTGATTCATCATCTATCCAAGTTGACTCGCACTGAGAAGCCAGCTCAAATACTGTGATTTAAAAATAAATCTCTGCCCATCCACCTGCTTATTAACATTCTGTAAATGTACCAAGGTCCATCCGCCAACAGTGAGAAAAGTTCATCTTAGCTAATAGTTGCTACACTGGCTCTGATAAATTGGTCAAAATAACTGTCACTAAGCCCTTGACTTCATTTTAAAAAGTGATGGAGAAAGGCTAAGTACTAAGCCATCCAGGAAAGCAGTTACTTGCTCGGACAGTCTGTGGGCGTTCGGGTGCCCTTCACTAACCGTACATATTACTCTGTGACTCGGTCCCTCCATAGGTAAAATGGAGACAATCACAACGTCTACCGTACTCGTAGGGTAATACCTTCAGATCCTTAGGATGGCGCCTGGGGCGTTACATGCACTCAGCACAAGGAAGCTATTCTTATGCAAACTCAGCTGCATTCATAGTGTTGGTGGGAATGAGTAACTGTCATTTATTCTTCTCTCACTGTGTGCCAGGCACGGGGCTGAGAGCTTACAGACATAGCTCAATTTAGTCCTCAAGGCAACCCCATAAAGTGGGTATAATGCCCATTTTACAGACGAGAAAATGGGAAGTCAGAGAAGTCCACACCTGGCAGACGGCAGAGCAGGGCTGGAACCTAATCCATCTGAATTCACAGCCAATGCTATGTAAGCCCATTGTCTGCTGAGAGCAAGACTGTGAGGCTGGCAGGAGAGAGGACCTGATGATCTCTGAGGAAATCGAGGCAGAGAAGTTAAACAATGAAACCACATCCAGTTTTCCTTGCAGAATACTTTGCAACAAACATCAAAGTCGTCGGGAAGGAAAGGATACTGAGGGAGACCATAGAAATAACTGGCCTTCTCTCTTAACCAAAATAGTAGAGCAAAGGCATTTCTGCTTCCAGTGTGGACTGTGTCCACACCATCTGGGCACCCCCAGGAGAGCCCCCAAAGCCCTTGGTAATGCCCCTAACGCATGATATATCACATGATACAGTATTTAAATACAGTCTTGAAACCTGGCCTTCCTGAGTGTGACAAGGCTCTGAGGTCAGCATTGCCAGCATCAACTCTTATAGCATCCCCAAGCCTCCTTGATCATCAAAGATTCTACATGTGGTATCGCTCCTCTGCAAAACTCCTCTTCATCATTCAAAGCCTTATTCACCTCTCTCTGCCTCAATAAGCTTTCCCTGGCCATCTCAACCTCCTCAACAGAACTGATATTTCCCACTCCTGAATTATGAACTATGAATAACTAGTTCAAATCATTGCAACACAGAGTGCCTTGCCCTTATAGTTTATGTGTTTGTCTCCTCCCTTAGGCTGTGAGCTTCTCCATTCAGGCGCCTGTGATTTATTTCAGT